TTCTAGACCAGCTTGCAAAACTTAATGAGACCCTGTCTCAAAATAAAATATAAGAAAGAGTTGGGGATTTAGCTCAGTGCATGAGGCCCCTTGGTTTAATTCTCAGTGGCACACACAGAGATATAATTCATAAACCATAAAGTTCACCCTTTTAAAGTGTACAGTTCTATTTGGGGAATACTTATAAGTATCCTAAAATTATATTAATTCCAGTATATTTTATCGTTTCAAAATGATACTCCATATCTATTAGTGATGACTCTCTCAGCCCTTGGAAGTCATAAAATTTACTCTTTAACCTTATGAATGTGTCTGTTCTGGATATTTTATCTAAATAGCATCTTTCAATGGCTTATTGGTTATATGTACATCTTCATTGGAAACAGTTACTTTTCCCAATTTTTAGTTGTTTATCTGCCTTTATCTTGCTGAGTTGCAAGGATTCTTTATATATTTCAGATATAAGTATTGCCTCATAAGATATATAATTTGCAAATATTTTCTAACATTCTGTGTATGTCATTTTCACTTTTCCGATGAGCTTTTAAGAAAAGTTTTAAATTTGGATGGAGTTCAGTTGTTCTTCCCCTCCCCACCCACACACACCTTTTGTGGTTACTTGTGCTTTTGATGGCATAGATATGAAATCATTGCTTAATTTAGAAAATTGTGCTTTCATTCCTTTTTAATATAGTAAGACTAGTTTTTTGGTCCAGTATGTGATTTAACATAGAAAATGTCCTATGTACTCTTGAGCTAATATGTATTTTGCTTTTTGGGGTAAGTGTTCTATAAATTCCAATTGAAGCCCAGTGCAGTGATGGATGCCTGTAATCCCAGTGGCTCAGAAGGCTGAGGCAGGAGGATTGTAAATTTAAAGCCATCCTTAGCAACTTAACAAGACCCTGTCTCAAAATAAAACATGGGTTGGGGGTGTGGCTCAGTGGTTAAGTGTCCCTGGGTTTAATCCCTGGTACCTCTCCCCCAAAAATTCCAATTCAATCACATTGTTTCAATACTGATCCAATATTCCTTATTCCTATGTGTCTTCTCTCTAGTTGTTCTATGAGTTTCTGGGAAAAAAGTATTAAAATCTCCAACTGTAATTGCTGAATTATCTTTCTGCTTTCAATTCTGTTTTTGTTTTGTATACTTGGAAGCTTTGCTGATGGGAGCATATACATTTGTTGTTGCTATATTTCCTGTTTAATATTGTTATCCATTCTCACTCGCTGTGGTTACTGACTGCATGATACATCCTTCCAGCCCTTTGCTTTCAACTTGTTTGTGTCTTTTTATTTAAAGTGCATGGTTTGTGGACAGTGTTGAGTCTTTTTTTGTCCTCTCTGAAGTCTTTGCTTTTGAAATGTTTAGTTCACTCACATATAATGTAATTTTTTATATGATTAACTTATGTTTTCAATTTTCCATTTATTTTCTGTATTTCTCAGTCCTTTTGGTTCCTCTCCTGTGTTTGTGTTCAAAAAAATTTAGTGTACCTTTTTCATTTCCAGTGTTTTTTTAATCTCCTTTTTGGTCTTTATGTCTCATGTTATTTTTCTTCAGAAGTTCCTCAAGTATATTTTCAATGTAGCACTTCACTTTTATTAATGATCAATTTTTTAAATTATTTTTGAGTATTTTTTTCTTTTCTTTTCTTCTTCTTCTTCTTTTTTTTTTTTTTTTTTTTTTTTTTGGTTAGGTTGGTGTTTGTTTTGTGCTGGGAATGCAACTAAGGGTCACATATGCTAAACATGTCCCTTACCACTGAGTTCTATTCCCAGTCTCCTCTTTTTTTAACCGATTTTTTTTAAGACTTATCATATATATCTTAATTTGTCAAAATCAGTTTCAGATTTATACTAGCTTGATTCTAGTAATATATAGAACTAYTAACCCTTTGGCTTACTTAGAAGCCAGAAATGAAGTTATTGTCAAGGCTGGTTCCTTATGAAGGGTATGGAGGAAGAATATGTTTTAGATCTTTCTTCTTTGCTCGTAGATGGCTATCTTACTGTTCACATATGTTTTCTGTGTTTCAGACACTAGTCAGATTGGATGTAGGCATATCATAATGTCTCCATTTTACCTTGATTTTCTCTTTTAAAATTCTATCTTCAAATAAAGGCACATTTTAAAGTACTGGTGGATAGGGCATCAACATATGAATTTTGGAGTAATATAATTCAACCCATAACAAGCCYCTCTATTGAATTTCTATTTCAATTATTATACTTTTCAATTACATGATTTCCATTTTATTATTTTTCATAATTTCTTTATTGATATCAGTTTGATGCCACACTATCTTTTATCTTCCTTTAGTTCTGTAATTAAGCTTTCCTTTAGTACTGTGGCTACTGTGAAGTCTTTTTCCAGCATCAGTTCACTCTCACAGTCAGTTTCTTTTGCCTGCTTCCCCCTACCCCCACCCCACACTGTGAACTATAATTTCTTTTTTCTTTATACATCTCGTAATATTTTGTTGGACATGGGACATTTTAGATAATATATTATAGCAACTCTGTGATAGTCTCCTACCCACCACCATTCCTGATCTGAAATGGTTGGTTTTTGAGGGACAATTTTTTCATTTTGTACCTCTGTGTGAGTAGGGAAATCACTGACCTCTTTATACTATATTACTTTGGGTGGTGTTTTGAATACCAAATGAAAAATGATAGATTTTATAAATTAGATGGTAGATTTTATAAACTTTTGATAGCGTTTATAGAGTAAAGCAGCTTCACTATTTGTGAGATCACATCAAAATTATTTCTACTCAGTAGTGCTTCATTATAACTCTGATTGGTTGCCAGTACCTTTATTCCACCATTGGAAGTGCATTTTCTCATTAATCCTTAACGTGACATGTTGAATTAAGTTTATACAAAAGTCTATTTTAGAAAAAAAAGATAAATAATTTTTTTGAAAAGGTGAACAATCATCAGAGAAAAAGGCCAAAGAATATGAACAGGTAGTTTTCAGAAGAAGGAACAAAAACTGATATTAAACATAAAAGAAAACTCTTCTAAAGAAATTCAGTTTAAAAAAAAAAAGAAAAGAAATTCAGTTTAAACCAAGTATAAAATTCTATTTTCTATAAAGTTGGCAAAGATTTAAAATATCAATAATATCTAGTATTAATGAAAATGTGGGGGTAAGTGAGCTCTCATCATTATTACTTTGGAAGCATCTATTGGAATTTAAAATACACATGCCATTTTGCCCAGCAATTTAAAGTGTGTGAGAGATATAGGAACTAATGTAAATATTATTAATTGCTGAATTTTTATAGTAGAAAAAAGTTAAAAGCAACATAAATGTTCATTAATGGAAACCTGTTTTAGTTTTCTATTGCTGGAACAAAATACCTGAGAAAATCAGTTTAATAGAGGAAGGACTTGTTTTGGCTCACTATGTTTCAGAGGTTTCAGTTCATTTCACTTGGTTCTGTTGTTTGTGTTCCTTGGTAAAGCAGAACATCATGTTATAGAGCAAAGCTGCTCACCTCATAGTGGCTGGAAAGCTATGAGAAAGAAAAGGACCAGGGACAAAATATACCCTTCAAAGGCACCTCCCCAGGGAGTCACTACTTCCAGCTAGACCCTACCTCCTAAAATAGCATCACCAACTGGGAACCAAGTCTTCAACACATGAGCCTCTGGGATATTCCAGGTCCAAACTATAATAAAATTCAGTGGCCTTCCATCAAATGGAAAATCACCCAGTTGTAGGAAAGGAAGAGATGATATCTTTTTAAAAGGCAGGTTGGTTGTTTCTTTATATATTATGTATCATTATATTTGTGTATAAATAGAGTATATTGGGAAGGATAATATACTTCTCTGTAAAGTATCTTTGAAATATAGTTAGTGGAAGGAGGAAGATTGGGGAGTGTCATTTCTAAATTGCTTACTTTTTAAAACAACAGTTATGTATTAAATTTGTATTTTTTATTTAAAAGGAAAATATGCATTACATAACATCTTCCAAATTTATTAATTAGGAACTATATACTTATACATGAATTACGGTGAATTTTTTCTGGTTTATTTTCTATTTAAGGATTTAAATGTGAAGATTTATTAATTTACAGAGGTTAAGATAATGCTTTCTATCAGCTGGAAATTATGTACAAAAAAAAAATTCAATTTTAAGATTTGAAACATATTTCAAAATCATAATCTGGCTTAAAGAGAAGGTTACGTATATCTAGCATATTGAAAAAGTTGTTTTTTTTTAACTGAGAAATGAAAAATTTAATAGTCATAAAATCCACATCATAGAAAATATTCATTATTAGTATATTTCATGTAAAATTATGTTGGGTTCAAGAATAAAAATTTTGTTGTTGTTGTTGTTGGAACTGGGGATTGAACAGAGGGATGCTTAACCACAGAACCACATCCCCAGCCCTTTTTATTTTTTATTTTGAGACAGGGTCTCAGTAAGTTGTATAGGCTCTTCCAAAGTTGTTGAGGATGGCTTTGTTATCCTCCTACCTCAGCCTCCTAAGCTGCTGGGACGGCATGTGTGCACCATCACACCTGGCTAGAAAGTTACTTTAATTAAATTGGCTTGAACAATAAAAAGCTTTGAGTCTGTGGAAACAGATAGTAAAACAATTTCTATAAAAGCAATAGAAGGTTTTTCAGTATTTGCATATCAAAATATTTTATTTTAAAGACTTTTTTMTTTTTTAATATTTATTTATTTATGTGTTTTTTTAGTTTTAGGTGGATACACATTATTTTATTTTTGTGTGGTGCTGAGGATCGAACCCAGTACCTCATGCATGCTAAGCGAGCATTCTACCACTGAGCCACAACCCCAGCACCAAGTCTTTTTTCTTTTATGGATGTTATCTTGTAATAAATATATTTATAGTTATTTTCTATTAATTTTATGGTATTTCATAAATTTAAAGCAACTATAGACTATCTAATCATATGTGTGTAATAAATTTTTTTACATTATGGAATTGTATGTTTTCACAGGTTTCGTCTTGATATATATCGATGCTTGGCCAGTCCAGCTCTAATAATGTTAACAGAAGAGGATCCAATCCTAAGAGCATTTGAACTTAGTGCTGATTTAAAAGAACTAAGCCTTGTGGAGGTGGAATTTAGGTGGGAATGAATGGAACTTTTAAATTGCATAATACCTTTTGTGGCAAAATATTCAGCTTGAAGTTCTTGATAGAACAAATTATAATTTATATTTACTTACAATTTATTTACATTTGATTCTAGATGACCAAACCTTGATACCTCTTACTTGGGAATTTTCCTTTTCCCTCAAAGGAACAGATCCTGGTGCTGTTTTATTTAAGTTATTCCTTCCCCATCTTCCCTCTTATACTCTTTAACCACCCTTATTCCCCCAGGGAAAGCTTTGAGATTTTCCTTTATGTCAGAGTATCCTTAGTACCCTCTGAAAAAGGAGAAATTGAACCAGCTCGTATTGCAAGGGTTTTGCAGGGATTTATGCCTAAACCCACCTTTTCTTTTGTGTCCAGCTCCTATTGGAGTTCCTCCTCCAGCAATCTGACCCAAGTGGGAAAGTTCAAACTTTCACATACTGAATAAAAATACCTGTTTATAAGTTTAAACTTTTTACTTAATTTGGATACATTAAATTTTACTTAAATTTGATAGGACAGAGTAGTACTTTGATTAACTCAAGTCATGGTTAAAATTAAATTTTTGCTACTTTTAAAGTATCAGTACACAACACTACTAATAAATTATTTTGCTTAAATATGAAAAATTTTCTGTTGCAGTCTCATATTTTGAGTTCTGAGTCACCATATGAGATAGAATTTATTCAGTTCATTCCAAGAAGTATTTGAAACAACTACTGTGATTATGCTATGATCAGAATAATAAAGTTAGATTTGGAAGTGGTCATAGAACTCATTTACATTATCCAGTATTTTGTTTTTTAAATATTTTTAGTTGTAGATAGACACAATACTTTATTTTGTTTATTTAGTTTTTATGTGGTGCTGGGGATCAAACTCAGGGCCTCACATATGCTAGGCAAATGCTCTCTCTCACTGAGCTACAACCCCACCCCTATCCAGTGTTTTTACAGACAAAGAGATGTATACAGACTAGATGGTTTATTAATATTAACATTTAAAAGTAGAAGCAAAGTTATAACTAGAACATAGGACTTCTTGCTGCTAGTTTACCATATGTCCATCTAAACTGTATAGCCACTTACTTTTCTTTTAATAATCTAGAGATTAAGCAAATTAGATTAACAAAATGTATTAATTCACCTTTAAATCTAGTGTTCTATCAAAATGTTTATGTAATGATTAGATAGCTTTGTGATAATATACATTTCTGATGAATGTTCCCATTTGCAATTAGGTTCTTAAACCAAGAAGTAGGTAATAACTCATGTATTAAAGAAATCCAATTGCCTGTTCTCAGGTTATATAGTAAATACAAAGAGTGAGAGAACTGTTAGCTTCTAAGAAAAAGAAGTTTTTATTCTTTGAGTTATAATTCCATGCAACCAGTTCATGGAAAATTCCATTGTAAAGGAAGACTAAAAAAATAGAAAGTATTATTTTCCCTTCCTTTCTCCTGGGAGAAAAAACTGAATAAATATTACTTAATGAAGTTCACCCTCATGTTACTGGCTCATAATTATTTATTTCTAACCTCATTCTCAACTCTTAAATTGTTATTAAACTTAGACATAAGTTTAATGTAACTGATTTTTAAAAAAATTTTAATTGTCAATGGACCTTTATTTTATTTATTGATACGTGGTTCTGAGAATCGAACCCAGTGCCTCACACATCCTAGGCAAGTGCTCTGCCACTGAGCCACAACCCCAGCCCGTAACTGATATTTTTTAAATGAATTATGTACTAAAACTTTGTTTCTTACAAAGTAGGTTAGATCTGCCTTTAATAAGCAATTCAAAAAGAAGTAAGGTTTAAGCAATAGTTATTCTGAAAGTAAGTTCTTTAGTAAGTAAATTTTAGTATCTCTCTAATTTCATTCAAGTAAGCACTTTAAATACAAATCAAAATAATTTTTAATATTAGAATTAACATAAATGTAGGCTATTGAAAAGTCCTCTGGTTAAAATTATTTAATAATACTAATCAGATTACATTAAGATGCTATTTGTATTTATATTATTAATAAAATAGGAAATCTTAGCCAAACTTATAGAGAATAAAACAAATGAGTTAAGTGGACACTGATGGATGAATATTATTAGAATTTCCAGGAATATCAATCTATATAAGGAAACATTGTGCTCATCTAAGATTATCAGTATGAACACAGGGAACATCATTGTGTTAGTTTTCCCCAAAGCCCTGGAGAATTTGTGTAACAGTAAGGTCATTCAACTGTCAGCAGAAAAAGAAAGACTTCAGATTTTTTCTAGTGAATATAGTGTAATTAGAAAATGGAAGTGACATTTCTAATAGACTAATGCTTTCCCCTCCCCCCCAGGAATGATTATGAGGAACTAGCCCGTCAGTGCAAAATGTTTGCTAAAGATTTGCTTGCACAAGCCCGGAATTCACGTGAGTTGGAAGTTATCCTAAACCATACTTCTAGTGATGAACCTCTTGACAAACGGGGACTACTGGAAGAAAGAATGAATTTAAGTCGTCTAAAACTTGCAATCAAATATAACCAAAAGGAGGTATGAGGATTTCTGTGATATATTTAAATTATTTTCTCCACCATTGTGTAGTGGCTCAGAGCAGAGGCTTTGGAGCAACATATCTGGGTCAAGATCCTACTTCTGCTTCATGTAATTGTGTGTCCTTGGGAAAGTTATTGAATCTGTCTGAGCTTTAGTTTTAATAATTAATTAAAAATATGTATTTAAAGGTTTTAGCATGGTAAGTACTAGTATTTAGCAAGTAATAAATGGTAGTTACTATTACTTTTAATAATTTATATTAGTTAAAATAATATGGTTGCTGATTTTAATGTTTTGCTAACTAGTAGCTACACAGGTAAACTTTTACAGTGAAGTTTCTACCTGTGTTTTTGTCTGTTACAGGTTTGTCTTATTGAATTGGTAATAAATAGCCCTTTCTATAGTAAATAGTAATTTCTATTTAAAAATAAAGTATCAGATATTATGTTTCCTGATTCTTTTTATTTGTAATTCATTGTGAAACCTAAAGGTGGAGAGGCGCATGATATAACTAAGTTGAATCTGACTCTTCTGGCATCATCCCTTCCTATTAAGGGAAATACCCATTTCTACTCCCCATACACACACATACACATGATTCAGGAACTTGAAGAATGGAGGTATGCATTTTAAATTTTATTTTTGAGGTATTCACTAAACAATGGTATTTATATGTAGATAGTGATATCTAGTTGATAGTACAGGATGTTGATAAATGATACTTTTTTAAGGTGTCACTTCTAAGACTCATTTTCGTTGTCAAGATAGAGATTTGGAATAAAACTTGCTTATGAAATTTATATTATTACAAAACTGGATCCTAAATTAGATGATGGCTAAAGGCAAAAGTTAGGACCTTTGGTACTAAGATCAGAATTTTTTATTGTTGTGGTTGAAATTTGATCCTCACAATAGCTTTTTGACAGCTAGGTGCAGTGGTTCATGCCTGTAATGCCAGCCTCTTGGGAGGATGAAGCAGTAGGATCACAAGTTCAAAGCCTCAGCAACTTAGTGAGAGGCCCTAAGCAACTTAGTAAGACCCTATCTCAAAATTAAAAAAATAAAAAGAGCTAGGGGTGTGGCTCAATGGTAAAATGCCCCTGGGTTCAATTCTTGGTACAAAAAAAAAAAAGACCTGGAGTTGGGAGGCCCTGGGTTCAATCCCCAGTGCCACCTATAAGAAAAAAATAGAAGTTAAAAAGATAAAAACAATAGTTTTATTTTTAAATTTTTTARTATTTGTTTGTTTTAGGTGTATATGACAGTATATTTTGACATATTATATGTACACAGAGTATAACTTATTCTAATTAAGACCCCATTCGTGCAGTTGTACCTGATATACAGTTTAAAACAATAGCTTGTGGACTTAGGAAATAGATATGAGAATTTAACAATGTTTACTTGAAGATTACCTAGATAATGTATTGCCTCTCTAGAACTTTGACTTAAAATCCTGTACTTTTCATACTACTCCCAAGTTTCTTGCTCAAGGTGGGAACATTTAATGGGAAAAAAAAGTAAGTATAAATATCTAAGTCAGTATAGATTTAATTTTACCCATCAACAGTGCACTCATGCTGCTTGAAAAAGAAAGTCAGTGCTAATGAGTTCCTAGTACAAGTGGGTGATGTAGGCTTCTTCACTCACATGTCTGTGTCCAATCGGCAGTCAAAGACTTAGAATATCAAGGTCTAAGTAGGCTGGATACTCAGGTGGTTGAGTCTACAGAGCATAGAGCACCTGAGAATTTAAACTGGAACTTTGAAGGAGCATTGCCTTACAGAGGGCAGGTTGTGATTAGGTGGTCCAAAAAACATCTCACTGCTAATTGGAATGCCTTCCTGCAGTATGTAGCTTGGACTTCACAGGGTGGTGAATTCAGTGCAAAATAGGACTTTTTTTAATATTTATTTTTTAGTTGTAGTTGAACACAATATCTTTATTTTATTTATTTATCTTATGTGGTGCTGAGGATTGAACCCAGCGCCTTGCACATGCTAGGCAAGCACTCTATCGCTGAGCCACAACCCCAGCCCTGCAATAGGACTTTTTACAGAGCAGTTTATGACTCCAAGAGCAAGTTTTCTAGCATACAATCTGAAAGAAACATGGCCTTTAAACACTTAACGTTTGTCATATAGCATCACTTCTACTAGAATCTGGTGTTAGAGCAATCACGAGCTTATCAAATTGAAGGATAGGGAACAGTGATTCTTTTCTCTGCCCAACACCTCTTGATGACAAGAATTTCGGAGAATCTGTTTCAAAACCACCGTAGCCTTAGAACATTTGTAATTGAAATGTTGTTCTTCCAGATATTATTTAACATCACTTCTAATTATATAAAGGAATGGTAAGAATAGTAATCAGTCCTGAGTTTGCTTTGACATTTGGGGGAGAGGCAAAACCATTGGGGTGTTATGACACAGGGTAGTTAATGGGAAGAAAAACTTGTTTCCCATGTATTTCACCCTGAGGAACAAATTAAGATTTCTAGGAACACTAGAATGTGAGCAGAACAAAGTAAGTCCTAATTGCTAAAAATAAGTACAGTGTATTAGAAAAATTTTTCATAAGCACAATAAACAATCACATAACTGTCCAATTCATTTTTTTTATTACAGTGTTATATTCTACAAGTTATATTCTATCTCAGGATAAATCTTTTTAAGACAGAAGATTAATCAAATATTATTTTACATTACCCAAATAATAATATGATCATCTATTTGTGATTTACAAAATTATTTTTGATAATCTCAAACCTGATCAAATTTAGATCCAGAGTTATTAGGACACTTAAGTTATACTTTACAACATGAGCATTATATTGGAAAAATACAGTGAATGAAATTTGTAGACTAGAAAAGTTTATAAAGTTTGGTAAATTTCTGTACTTGAACTAAAATTTCCTTATTTGGGAATATTTTCCCTTTTCTTTTCACATGCAATTCAGTTTTAAGCAGTGTTAGGGTATCTTTAATACATTTTAACACATTCTCTGTGTTTTCATGGAACGTGAATAGATCTAGTATGTAGATTCTTTTGTTATCTTGACATTGATTACTTTTTTATTTTTATTTTTTATTTTTGGTTGGACACAGTACCTTTATTCCATTCATTTTTATTTTTATGTGGTGCTGAGGCTCGAATCCAGGGCCCCATGCATGCTAGGTGAGCGCTCTACTGCTGAGCCACAGCCCCAGCCCCAACATATTGATTTCTTGCAGCTAAAATTAGCAGGTTTTCTAGAATGAAGACATTCAAAGATTAGTTAGTAGTATCTCTTKCTATGGATTGTGCATGTTAACTTTGACATTTTATAAATTATTAGTCTTTATAAAGATTTATAAAAGCTAATATTCTTAAAAGAGTCTTTAGGTGTGACAAAATAGCTTGGTAGGCTAATAATAATGCAATACTGCATGCTAAGAACAAAGCACTATTCATAAGAGCTTTATATTGAATCTTCACAAATTTATGAGTAGCTATTATTATCTGAACATTAGAGATGAGAAATTTGAGGCTTAGAGAGGTTTAAAAACTTGCTCAAGGGCACTTAGTAAGTGGCAGAGCCTGGATATGAGTCTAAGTAATCTGGCTCCAGAGTCTATGCTCTTAACCTGTGCACTCTTTGATTAGTTGTAAGAAGAAAAGAAAAAAAAAAATCCTATGTTTATTGTATAGTGTTGATTTTTAAACTAGTATTAAGACTTTGAATTTTGAATATCAATTAATCAGTTAGTATTTAAAGGTTTTGTTTTGCATTTTTTTTTTTTTTTATGTCTGTGTATGTCCTTTTCAGTTTGTCTCCCAGTCTAACTGCCAACAGTTCCTGAACACTGTTTGGTTTGGACAGATGTCAGGTTATCGACGTAAACCCACCTGTAAGAAGATAATGACTGTTTTGACAGTTGGCATATTTTGGCCAGTTTTGTCACTGTGTTATTTGATAGCTCCCAAATCTCAATTTGGCAGAATCATTCATACACCTTTTATGAAATTTATTATTCATGGAGCATCATATTTCACATTCTTGCTGTTATTGAATCTGTACTCTCTCGTCTACAATGAGGATAAGAAAAACACAATGGGGCCAGCCCTTGAAAGAATAGACTATCTTCTTATACTGTGGATTATTGGTGAGTATCAAGTTAGTTCAAAAGACTTTGCCTTGTTTAGCACATTAATTCTTCCTTGTTTGATGGCACTATGAACATTGAATTCAGTTTATAATTTTACACAGTTCATGCAGCAAGAATTTGAACATTTCCATAATCATTGAAGATTTAACTAATACCTCTTTGAAGATAAATGTTAATGAACTTGATGATATAATTTAATATTATTTAATATGTGGAAGTTAAAAATTCATTATTCTCAGACTGTGACATTGTTCCTAATCGTTAATATAGAAAACCTTTTTTAAATTAATGAATGCTATTTTCTATTACAGTATGTATTTTCCTTGGGTATTTTAAAACAACATATTTTATATTTTACACTTTTTATAAATTTTCTGTTTCTAAACTAAATATCATTAGTTTTGTCATTAAAAACTTGTGCACTCTTGAGCTGGGATTGTAGCTCAGTGGCAGAGCACTTGCCTGGCACATGTGAGGCACAGGGTTCATTCAATCCTTAGCACCACATAAAAATAAATCAATAAAATAAAGTTATTAAAAAAAACTTGTGCACTATTGTACTTACATTTTATTTTATCTCTATTATATAAATATTATTTAAATTTAGATTCAAAGGGGTCTGACTCATTCAAGAAATCAGTTCTTTGTAATGAAAATCAGATCTGTTTAGAAATTACAGGTTTAAAAGAATAAGACATTTTTACTTCTGAAAAATATTTATAAGTATTACATAGTAAGTATCTTAAATGATCTTGTGCAGGTCATTTACTCCCCTTGCCCTTTCTTTGTTTGTTTGTTTTTGTGGAAGGGTGGGGAGTTGAGGTAGAACCACATTACTTAAACAGATAGTGGTCTTTTAAAGACATTTTCTTTATTTCTTTAGTATGTTTAATCTAGTTTTTAATTCCAGCATTTCCCACCTGACCTACTATTTGCTATAGAGTAAAAGGATATTAAAATTGAGTTTTTTTCTATAGCTGAAAGTACTGATTACATTTATTTTTTGATACTGCATTCTTGATTCAAGTTTCAATTATTGAATATGCCTTTTTAGTTTGTCTGAATTAAATAATTTGAGAAACTATTTAACAATATCCACTTTTAGTTCTCCTTCAGCTCTAAAAATTATTTTAATGGATTAAGGCTTTAATTTGAAAATCAGTGAATTTCAAGTAACTTGATTTCAGTCAATTTTACTTTTAGTGATATTCAGGCTGTGATGTGTTGAAATTTAAAATTGAGTAGGTAAAGTAAAAATGATGCAAATCTAAACTTTAGGTTAAAGAGAATTAAATAATTCCTTTTCATTAGCATTTTCCTATTTCCTATATTTTTGGCATTTTCTTTAAAAATTAATGTTTTAATTTAGGAAATAATTTATTCTTTACCATATGTATGATTCTATATTGAATTGTGTATATCTTTTCAATGTAAATTTTGTTTATGTATTTGATTAAGTAAAAAAAATAGGTTACAAGGCATCTAAGAAACTCTTTCCTTCTGTTAATTCTGAAAAAATTATTATATATTCCTTAGCCTTAAAGAAATGAAATTTTATATCATCCACCTATAAACTTTTGCTTAAGTAGTAGTAAGAAAGAAATTTGGGGTTTTATAAGTTAAGATTCAATTTAATCAAGTCTGTATAAGAATCAAATCAGTTTATCTTTGCATTGAATAAAAACTAACTGAACTCAGACTTATACTGCTCTTCAGATAGCATAATATTATTGCAGCTGCTTATTTTCATAATGATGGTAACATTATAACTATTTCCTTTTAAGTCCTGTTTTCAATAACATTTTATGTGTACACATATGCATTCCCCTCCACACACATGTGATTCATTTTCTAACCAGTTCTGCCTCACTAAAGGAGAACTTTATATTAAACCAGTAAAACTCCTGAAAATGTTTTACTTTTTTCAACAAAAAGCTTCTTCTTTGAAACAATTAGATCTCAGTAAAACTTGTAAGGGATGTCCTTTTCAGGTCATTCTGTTATATTATTTGATCACTTTGGGCTTCCTTAAATATATAGTTCCAAACCTGTGCTAAGTGAATGTGTAGGAATAGTTTGCCTAATTATCTAAAGTCACTCTTTGGTTTGTTTTATTATTTCAAATAACAAGTATTGTAACTTCTTACTCATGATGACCAATTTTTATGTATTTGTTTCCTGTTTCTATTCCTTAGGTCTTAAAAAAAGGTAGGGTTAAATTATAAAAAGCAAGATAGAGAAAAAAGAAACAATTTATTAATGTATCACAGAATGCTGATAATATTCTTTTCCTTAATTTTTTACTTTTAAACATAACAGAATAGCTATTATAAAAATGTATTTAAAAAAATTTTTGTACTCATTTGTTCAAGCATAGGCAGAAGTAGGTGTGGCTCCTGTATTCATCAAGCTTACTCATAAGGCGAAGAGTAGCACCTTCGGCCACAACAATAACATTAGGTTGAGAATCATGCAGAAAAATGAAAAATCACAAATGAGTTTCTTGTTATTAAGAAAAAGTCATGATGCTAGGAGAGCAAGCATATTACAGGGGCATTTCACCTAGTCAGGGAGGTTGTAAAAACTATTTTAAGAAAGTTAAGAAAGGAGCTAAGATCTAAGTAAAAAAAAAAATGAGTCATGTAGGAGAATTGGAGGAGAAAAGTATTCTAGTCTAAGATGAAAGCATATTCAGAAGTACAGTGGCAAGAGAGTATGATACAAAGAAGGGACTAAAAGATAACATTCCTAGAACACTGAATAAGGGAAGCATGATTCAAGATGAAGATGGAAAAACATGTTATACAAGACCATGCATAGCATTGTAGGGCAGGTTAAGTTATTTCAACTTAAAAATGATGAAAGACCATGAAAGGTTTTAAGTAGGCAAGTGACATGATCAGTTTTTTAAAAAATATATATTTTTGTTATAAATGGATACAATACCTTTATTTTTATTTTATTTTTAATGTAATGCTGAGGATCAAACCCAGTGCCTCACACATGCTGTACCCCTGAGCCACAACCCCAGCCCAACACGATCAGTTTTGACTTTTGAAAAGATCATTCTGACTATAATGTGAAGAATAATGTGGGTTAGGAAGATAGGCTATAGCAAGAGTAGATGAATGGATACTAATAAGGAAGTTGTTGGAGTAATCCAGATGGGAGCTGATAGTTCCCAGGAATTAGGATGATTGTGATAGAAAAAAGAGAGAAGACAACAGATTGAGAGATATGTACAAAGTAAAGCCAATAGAACATGGGAACGCATAGTGTATAAGAGATACGGCTGGTCCGAATGCAGTGGTGTTTACAACTAATTGATTACATTAGTATGTAAGAGGTATAAAGGAAAGGAGATCAAGGTATTTTAGAAGAAGACTAGGTTTGATGATTTGTGAAAGGGTAGATATTCAGTATAGTTTTGGATATGTTGTATTTGAAAAGCCTTTGATATAACCAAGAGAGATTTCAAGGCAGACAATTCGATATCAGTATGGAGCTCAAGAGGAAGTTCAAGCTTGAGTTATAAATGTGTGAATATCTGCATATAGGAATTGTATGAAATTGTGAGCATGAATAGACACTTCAGGAAAAAGCATAGAAAGAAAATATGAGAGGACCTAAGATCAAGCCATGAGAAATCCCAAAATGACTGGGATTGCTGCTTGTTAATACTATTTACTAATTCTAAAATATAAAAGCAAAATGGGCCCCCAACATATAGAGCATTGATTGTGCAGTGATTGCATTGCTTATAATAGTTTATAGTTATTTGGCTCTTTTCAGTCCAACTTAGAAAAATGGAATGCATCAAGTATATCAGCTTTATTATGGTGGGGAGTGTCACTTGCACAGGAGAGCTACCTGATGGGCTCCTCATAGTCTTTCATATGCTTGTCTTTTCTGATCAAATGTCTTCTCCAAATCATGTTGTACCTTATTGTCAAGAGTTTCATTTGGGTATAATACTGCATTTTGTAGAAATAAGTATTTCTGTAAGCATCTTTCTTGGCTTAGTGTTTTAACATTAAGAAAAATATGTCTAAAGTTTAAATATAAGTATTTTGTATGAAAATGACTTATAAATAAATAAAGTTTTATATACTATTGTATATCAGGAGCTAGGATTAGACAATAATTTGAGCTCTTTAAGAAAGTATAGACATAGAGAGTTTTTTATTTAATTTTTTTTTTGCTTCATAACTCCTAGTCCTGGGTAAATGTTGAACATGATTGATTCTCAAGAAACTTTCATCTCCTACTCCTTCCCCAGATAAAAGAAAACAATGTTTGAATTAATAAAAAGTCACCTSTCAGACTACTTCTTTTAACATTGTTAGTTTTTACCTACTCATTTTGAGTAGTGGAATTTTCAAGGTTTTTTCTATCAGATTGGTAAAACTATGTTAAATGTTTCTACATAAAATCAGTACTACTAATTAAGATGTTATGAACAGATGTTTTTAAGGACATTTCATGCATTTCTCAAGGAAATTATCCTGCCTGCTGTTTAGCCAGAGGATGATTTTAATTGCCTTAATTTGATCTCCACCCATGTATTTTTCTATACTACTCTATTTTTCTGTTACTTTATAGTCTCCTTTAGGATGTCTTGATGAAGAAATATACCATAAAATTATCCTGGGCCATATTACTAGCCTCTGGTGTGGAAGTGTTTATAATAGACTCAGGCTGTTGTTGTATGGGATAAGGCCACGTTGGGGGTGTGGGTTATCCCACTAGGAAAACTTCAAATTCAATAGAATCTGTACCTTATAAAGTCCAAGAGTATAGCTTCCAATATAGGCACACTCTGAGTTGAGAGATATCATAGAGTCCTGGCCATGTATATCTTCAGGGTCTATGAGTCCATCCTGGTTCTCCCAGTCCAAATGCAATTTCCTAATCAATGCTAGTTTTTGTAATGGTGTTGAACAAAGCTGACCTTCCATATTTTTCTCAATATAGTGTGTTTCCAAGGGAATCACTTTAGTGGAAGGTAACCTGAGGTTACGTTCCCATGGAGAAAGAGTTTGGATATTCTATTGATCCTTTCTCTTCTGGGAGCTTCTGAAAAAGTTTTGAGAAACAAAGCAATACTTGCATTTTAAAATAATCATTCTGGTTGCTGTAGTGCGAATAGAATAGAGGATGGTGGCTTGAAGTTGAAGTGGTTGTGAGAAGAGTTAGATCCAAATATATTTTGAAAGTAAACAGGATTTACTTTTGCATTGAATATGGAGCTTAAAAGGAATACAGGAGGGCTGAGGCTCAGTGGCAGAGCACTTGCCTAGCAATGGTTTGATCCTTAGCAGCACATAAAAAGTAAATAAATAAAGGCCATCTATAACTACAAAAAAAAAAAAAAAGAAAGAAAGAAAAAGTGAGAAAGAAAGAGAGAAAGAAAAAAGAAGGAAAGAAATACAGGAATCAGGGATGGTTCAAGGACATTTGGATTGAGCAACTAGGATGGAGTTACCATTAACTGAGATGGAAAAATCTGCAAATGCAGCGAATTTTAGGGGAGAGAGTAGGAGTTAAGTTTAGACACATCTACCATTGGAGATATAGAGTAGCCAAGTGCCTATATAAGTTATAAGAGATATAAATTATTATATAAATATTAGTTCAGTGTAAATATAAAAAAATTTAGAGTCTTTGCCATATAGATGGTATTTAAAGCCAGTAGAGTGGATGATATCATAAATTGAGTTTGTCAAAAGTGAAAAGGATCAGGGACTGAACCCATGTAATGGTGTGGGGGTGGGGCACGCACACGTGTGTATGTGCTTAATATCAATTTATTCTTAGTTTGCTTCACATCACTTAGTATCCCTCCCTGGTAAAGACAGAACTTAGGTTATTTTTTTCAAATCATATGAAACCTAAGTTAATTTTCTTTCCAATTTGAGGAACTTTTCACTAAAATTTCTTTTTTTTTTCTTTTCTTTTTTTCTTCTGAATGAGGATATAGGTAGCCAAGGGTCATTTATTTAATATTTTGACTTATTTAGCTTACTGTTAAATTAAGAAAATGTTATCTGATTTTTTTCTTCTTTTTTTAGGGATGATTTGGTCTGACATTAAAAGACTTTGGTATGAAGGGTTGGAAGACTTTTTAGAAGAATCTCGTAATCAACTCAGTTTTGTCATGAATTCTCTTTATTTGGCAACCTTTGCTCTCAAAGTGGTTGCTCACAATAAGGTGACCATTTACTATTTCAATTGAAATTTAATTCAAAACCACCTAAGATATATAGCCATGTAACTCAGAGTTTCATAAGGCTATATCTTTAGTATGTTTTCATTTTAAAACTATTTATATATAATTTCCTTTTTTTTAGTAGTTTAAAGTATGTTACCTTCTATATGGTAGGTACCACAGTTTGATATATTGTGATATTTGATATACTTTGTCTTATTTTATCCTCATAGGGATTCTATGAGACAGAAGTCCTTAGCCCCATTTTACAAATAAGAAAAATGAAGCTCAGAGATATTAAATAGCATATCTAAGTCCACACAAAAAGAAACTATGATTGGATTTAAGTCCAGGTCCATATAGGGATTTTCTTTCTTACAAATGACAGGATTTGTTTTTCATATATATGTCTGAACTAGGTTCTTTTAGCTCATTAACATGTATATACTTAAAATGAGACCACAAAGTAATTTTAAATGACAAGTATTTTATATCTTTATATCAATGTGAAAGTATCTCAGTGGAATTTATCATATAGTATTTTACACATTCCAAATCATGCCTGTCATCTTTTGCAGCTTAAAAATGGTATAAATGTAATAATTTTTCTGATGACAATATATTTTCATTCAGAATTAGACAAAAATCTAAGTTTGTAGACATCTTAAAATTTTACTTTCCATCAAGATTTACACTCTCCCAAGGCCAGAAAAGGTAATAGATTATATGTTAACTATCTTTATTTAAACCCTGAGTTTAGAATTCTTTCTGGGATAGCATATTTAAGCAACTAAAATAATAGTATTCTCTGCCTTTTGACCAATTTATTGATTATAGAAAAAGTAAAGTGACTTTCTTATATCAATTTACTTTATTAAAATATTCCATTCCTTTAAATAACCAACAGTGTGCAACACATTGATGAGGTATATTCAGTGACCGCAGTGTAAAGTTACTAAGAAATAAAAATTGGTCTTACACAGATAAATGGTTTGATTTATCTGTGTAAGATAAGATAAAGAGATTGAATGGCATTACTTTTTCATACTTATCTCTTTAGTCCTATAATTTATTGTTCAAAAAGAACATTTTAAAAACGATAAGATGCTCTATTAATAATTATGCCAGGAAGTCAGACATAAAATCTCAGAGTGTTCCATGCAGCTGGGACATGTGGACATTATCTAGGTATAGTAATGCACTTTCTTCTTTTTAAATTAAAAACAGCAGGGGACTTCTATGATTTATTCTAGAATCCTAAGTGAAAGGACAAGGTTAATTCGATATAACTAATTAATTGACAGCATTTATGCTTAAAACTTTATGTTGTAAACTTTAAGAAAACTAAATGTTTCATTGCATAAAAAAGTTTAATGACAAATTGTTTAATTTTTTAAAACCTAAAAATTTCTGGGAATATCTCTTTAAATGACTTAACTGATATTGCCTTACATACATGGAAATCTTTTATTAAAACATTATTTCTATTAGAAAAAGTATAAAGCATAAATGGAGATTCCCCACAAGGAGACATAATTTAAATAGTTTTCTTTCAGAAATTTCTGAATATTTGTTTTTACTTTCCTAAATTGAGAGTGCTATTCACCTTTGACTTTTTTTCCTAACTCTAGTTTCATGATTTTGCTGATCGGAAGGACTGGGATGCATTCCATCCTACGCTTGTGGCAGAAGGGCTTTTTGCATTTGCAAATGTTCTGAGTTATCTACGGCTCTTTTTTATGTATACAACCAGCTCTATCTTGGGTCCATTACAGGTAAATTAAATTTCTTGAAGAACACTTGTTAGATTTTATTATTATATCTTTCTATGTATCCACTGGAGCATTGTTGTCTCATAATGTTAAAACTAAACTTTGCTTTTGAAAATAATTAGTAATTAGAAGAACACAGCATGTTTATCTACTTTGCTTCTGGCACAAAAATAATCCTTTACTTTCAGGAATTCAGACCTTATTAAGCTATGATTCATCAGCTGCCTCCCTTCACTCCATAGACACAGATGTGTTTAAAATATAGTTCTATTTCAGACAACAGTAGAGTAACATAAAAACTGCTTTTTATCAAAATGAATCTCACATTTAAAGTAGGAAGTGTTTTAGTTTATTAAGAGAGGTCCAGTGAAAACAAATAACCATAATGATGATTTTGAAAATATGTCAGCTCTCTTTTAAAATATTTTAAAACTTTTTGTTTCATAAATAGTAAATGTAATAAGCTAAAAAATATTATATTTAGAGCTTAAAAATTCATTGATTATATAGTCCAGCTTTGCACTTGATAGTATTGGATTGTTGAAGAAATTGAGGTTTTGATATGGTATGTGATTTGTCTAACCAAATGATTGTTATGTGTGAGAATCCAAGGCTAAATTCTTTCTCTTTACATCAAAGAAAGGACTCACAATTGGTTTAATTTACCCCACAGAGTGTAGTAATTGATTATTGTAGGTCCAAATCTGCTAACTTATAATTCTGAAAATCTGAATGATGTTCATTTTCCATAGTTAAAATTTGCTAATAGTGGGCTGGGGATACAGCACAGTTGGTAGAATGCTTTCCTTGCATGCACAAGGTCCTGGGTTCAATCTCCAGCACTGGAAAAAAAAAAAGCTAATAATTTAGATTGCTTTTTATATTTTTAGAAAAGGTATAACAAGGCATAATTACTTTCTCTAAACAGGCATGTGAAAAATAAAATATGTAGGAAACCCTGATTTGATTAGACCTGTGCAGTAAAACAGAGTTATAGTTAATAAACCAACTAAGGACATAAAATGAATCATTAAAACCAAAAAAGAGGGGCTGGGGCTGGGGCTCAGTGGTAGAGCACCCGCCTCACAATCGTGAGGCACTGGGTTCGATCCTCAGTACCACATAAAAATAAATAAAGATATTTTTTATTTTTTTTTATTATTTTTTTTTGTAATACTATTTTAATTTTAATATATTGTTTATGTCATTATAGTTACAAATGAATTTAAGAGAACTAAGTAATTTTCCCAAGGATCTAGATATTAGAACTGGAACTTAAATTCTT